TATATATATATATATATATATATATATAATCGCCTCGAAATGATAATCGCGCGACTTAAGGGCATGTACACGTGTCAGGGGTATGTGTATGTGTGTGTTTGCGCGTGCAGGGTGTAAGTGTCTGTGTATGCGTGAGTCGTGTGTTACGTGTGTATCTACATTGTTTTTCTTATAGTTTACATTCGTAGAATACGTTTCTACAATATATAGCGTGTGTTTTTAAATACATTTTAGAATTTGGTACTCTCGTCGAGACGACTCGTCGCGCCACACTTGCCATACTTTCGTCCTCGTTCCTCCGTTCGGGCTTTCGTTCGCATTCGTGCCGATCCTTCCTTCCGCTTCTCGTACAGCAACACTCGAACTTTCCCTCTTTCGGCCAAATGCTGCCTCCACTCGTATTTGCATTTTCCCATCCGGCGCGATCGATCGGGATAGTTTACGAAACGGTACTGAATCGCGCGGCGAATGAGAAAGACGCGATATATACACACACTTCGGAGAAGAAAATGACCTCATCTCCGTTGCTACTGCGCTGAAGATTGCATCCCTGAAATCCGTTGGACTCGATCCCCGTTGACGCAAGCCAAAATTCTCAACTACCCCGAGAGCGAGTGGCGGTTGCGAGAAGTATCGGAAGCAGCTGCTGCAAACAGCGGAATCTCCAGCGACAAGCGAGAGACGTTTCGGGGCTGGCTGAATGCGGACGATTCGCTATGTGAGCCACGAGTCCATGCCCGTATTCTCTCTCTCTCTCTCTCTCTCTCTCTCCCTCTCTCTCCCTCTCTCTCCCTCTCTCTCTCTCCCTCCCTCTCTCTCTCTCTCTCTCTCTCTCTCCTCTCTCTCTCTCTTTCTCTCCTTACTCTCGATAAATTTGTCAAACGTCAGTTAAAGTCGGAAGCATCACATATAACAAATGATTTCACGTACCTGGAAATGTGTGATGTATGTCGCTGTCGACGTCGTAGTCTGTCCTGAATCCTCCGTCCTGGTTGCCCGATCCAGCACTTTGCTCCTCGTTATTCCATCCTGGCACTCCGAATACTCAACCTGGCCCTGACACTCGCGTAAATTTCAAATCGGGGAAATGCATGCTAACGCGATGCCGGCGCGAGAGCCCGGTCCGATTAAATATTTCAAGAGCAGGCGAAATATTTTTATCACCCGAGACGCGCGGGAATTGCGACCAACGCGCCGATACACGTATCTTCGCGTCGCGCTGTTCGTCACTCGTCGGCTCGAAGCGTAATGACTCGGTTATACGGAAAAGTTCGCAACGCCCGGGACTACCAAAACAATGGACGAAAAAGGGACTACGTCATCTCGCGTCAATTGTCAACCGTTGTCGCTCGCGAACGTGACTCGCGCAATGATAACAATCAACACACGCGAAGCATCGCCGACCTTCAAGACGATCAATCACATCTTCGTTATATACTTTTCCTAATGGGTTCCATAATGGGTTTCCATTATGTTTCGAGCTAATGAACAATACATCGCATATATTAGTAGTATATTGCGTCGATACGTTAAATTATTGTTCCCGGCAGGCAATTGAAATATTTCGTCGGCTTGTAAAATACTTGATCGAACTCTTCTAGTGGACGTTACGTTAATTAACACGCATTTTTCTGATCAAATCCACGCGAGTGTCAGCGCTAGTGTAAGTGCCACGAGGGAACAGCCAGGAGCTAGCACATCGAGAAGCCAAGACAAGTCAAAAGATACATCATATATTTCCATACTGTAAAAAAATACTTGAAAATTTACGTGTGGGATATAAAATTTATTCACAGAAACAAAGTTTATATTTCACAAATAAATTTTCGTATTTTTTTCAGTGCAGGTATGTTAGATTAATCATATTATATAGAAGTTTGAGAATTAATACATTAAATTTTATTTGGCGTTGTTTCAATTGACATTTAATGAATTTACTGGAAGATATCCGAGTTAAAATTCAAATGGATATTTGTACACTGAGAGAAAAAATAAGAGATATTTATTCGATGCGTAATAATAATATATTTACTCACTCTAATATACATATTTTTACATTGAGAAAGAATATTTTACATTGATTTTTTTTTTTATTCAATAAAAGATTTCTAAAAATCTACGTGTTTTGTTCAGTTTTTTATCTAATCTACAAGTACACACAATGGCGGATGTTGCCATCAAAATTCATCCACCATATTGCACGTGATCATTCACCAAATTTCCTTAATTAATAATTCAAAATTCTATGTGGTAGTTTGCGAAATAGAGAAATTTCGTGTTGAGTTTGATGAGTTCTACCTGCAGACAACGGGTGTGTCATTAATTATTAAACAACTTACATAACCACGGCATTCGAATTAATCCGCAAAATAACCGGATACTCGAATATTGGAAATAATTATCCGTACACCAGAATATTAATTCTACTATTCGGTCGGATCCGGAGAATTCGAGCGGTCGCGAGAGGACATTGCCGACAGCGACGATATTTCGCACCTCGCGAACTCGTTACTCCCCGCCGCGCGTTTCCCTAACGACCATATTCGCGCGACCATAGTCCGTTTATGGCACAGACCCGACATTAGACGCGAAACGATGAGTCACGCGCGAATGAAGTCATTTATGTCGATAATAAAAGGGTCCTTGAACCGGGCGCGAACGCGCAGACTTTCGAAAGCGCTAACGAGCGCGTCGACACGAAAACGCGACTAAGTCGAAACGAAAAACTGTTAACTACTTCGGTAACCTACACAGATGTAGCAATGCGTATTGCACCTTCCGCTCGCCAGCCGTCCCCTACCTATCTTCGTCGTTAGCCAAACCGTCGACGCACAATGTTGCGAAGAGCTTGCTTTCATGAAAAAAAGTTGTTTTACGAAATGTAACATAGAAAGTTTTTCTTCTTGCAAACTAAGAGTATAGCGTCTGAAATATGATAAAACGCATAAATAACACAAGTTTTTTTGGTCAAATACTGACCTAACAGTTCCAGGAATTGGAGCGAATTAAAAGAACTATCGTAAGTAAAATTGTATCTATATCAAAGATTCATATTCTTCATAGAAAATTAGTACTAGATAGTTGAATTCATATTTTAACAATATCTATATATTGGTCTTTTAATAAGCTAATATCGATAAGCTAGTATTTGATACCTTTCATATATGCATATATGCATATATGGATTATGATGCATATATAAAATATATGCATCATAATCCAAGTTACTGATAAATTTCACAAAAAGAACAGAAATATTTAATTATGTCACGTACATTGAGTTACACTGTATTAATTCTAGTATACATTGTAAGTTTGAAACATTATTTACACAAGAAAAAATAGACTTTTTGCGCACGAGTTCACTTTTTTTTAAGCGATTTAGAAGTGAAAAATTATATCCAGAATGTAAGTGCTGGACACGGGAGACTCTAGTTGAATCCACTAGAAATTGATAGACAAAACATTTTTAAAACAGAGATGTAATTACAATTAAAATTGTTTTATTAACTGTTTCTTATTAATAATTTTCTTATTTTTTCTTGTTTTATTTATATAGTTTTAATTTTAATATAGTATTAATTCATTTTAGTATAGTTTTCATTTTAAGTGACAAAATATCAATTATATATATTATACATAATTATATATAATATTATATAACATTGATATTAATAATAAAAGTAAATAGTATATCACTTTTTCCGCAACTGATATACCTCCTTCCCTCTCACTGTCCTAACTGCTCCAAATTTAGCCAGTGACTATAAGAAAAACAGTTTTCCGTATAGAATTTATGTTTTTAAAATTTTAGATCGAAATCTTAAACAGATTTCAAATACCGATTTTTGTCCATAAAAACTAACACTACGCAACACTGTGCGACGCGTCGGTCGCCTCAAAGAAAAGTCGCTGGCGCAGCGTCGCCATGATAATCTCATTACAAGGCCGATTATCTTATTATATGCGCTTCGTCACAAGTGCTTAGAAAGTGGGATAGGTGTGGTTGAATTGCGACGATGACAATGAACTGACACATGTGCAAATTTAACACGCGTCGTTTTCTACAATCAACCACGAGCGTGAGCGCAAACACATGTGCGTTAAAGTTTAAACAACAACGTACCATAAAGTGTTTATCAATCATTATCACGTCACGCGCACACATATCCGTGACGCGTAGTCGACTGGTAGCGATTAGTGCCCCTACAAGACAATCTGGCCACTTATCCCTCAAAATGACGTATTTGTGTGATAAGGATAACTCATGCCGGTGAAGTGCCACACGAATATTAAATGAAATGTGCCCCAAGTCATTTTTTCCATTTTTTGTACCATGATTATAATAAACCTTGGTGTTTGAATTTGTTATTGTTACAAACGCGCGCGCCATGATAGTATATGACCAACAGCAACTTATTAAACGTAAAACAAAAGTGTTGAGAATTATCCTTTTTCAAAAGAGTTAAATCCGTAAATGAGTTGCTTTGTAATCTCATGATTATAGTGATGACACAATATAATGAACCACTGCGATTGATTCCGCCATCTTGAGGAGTCTGCGAGCTGAACCAATAAAATAAGGCTCATAGAATGGCTAGACACTAATATCGACGTACCTTTTGAATTTGTACGACCCGTTATCGCTTATCGTTGATCTTTTGCGGCGCGATTTTTTACGAGCGGGACAAACTACTGGCGATTCCAGATCGTTCGTGATTTCGGGGAGAAAGAGAGGGGATTCATGAATCTCTTTCCCACAAGTGAATTCGCGAAAAGTAGGACATAAAATCGCACATAAAATGCATATACATAGCATAAGACCGTCTCGACCAATAAGCATTTAACATAAAATAGTAATATTGATTTGCAGAGTATGCTCATTGATCGGGATGGTTTTATGCCATGCATATGCATTTCATGTGCGATGACCCTAAGGGCCATTTTCACAATCTCCGGTTAACTTTAATTACCGATAATTCCAGTGGAATTGATCAATCGTATTTGTCGTTCATCAGAATTAACTAATCACGGTTGACACTTAACCGATAGTTAAAGCTAACCGGAGATTGTAAAAATGGCCCTAAGAGCGCTTGCAAATACTTTCAAGTTGGAAAATTTCCACGAGCTTAAAAGAGACAAGGTTTGTGATTAATATCGTGATAAAGCAATGTTCTTTCTTCACGGTTTGACCTCAAACTCCGCGAAGTCGCATCCGCGAAAGCGGGCGCGACACATCTGGAACGCCCTGTATCGCGACTTTAATGGCACTTTATATACGTATATGCGCTCGTACGCCATGCCGGCGTATCTATAAGTAGTTTGCGACGTGGCGGCCAGAACCGAATCGTCTTATCCGTTTTCGCGTAAGGTTAACGACCGCGAGGCCGTCGCGAAATTCCGAACGGATCGGAGCGCAGGAGGAGAAGAGGGGAGGGTTTGCGTTGCACACCACACGATGCACTCCCCTGGCCGTCGGTAATTGGAAACGCGGTGAATTTCATGTCCACGAGCAGAACCGAACTTCTCGAGGACTTCTCATAAAGCGCCGTTCGGGACGATTAAGCCGCGCGAGCACGGACGCGAGGCAATTAAAACTTCCCAATTTTGCCGTTTCATAACGGGATCCCGGAGAGAGAGAGCTCTTAAATAATATTTACACATCATACCAAGACAGCACGGCGGACAGATGGATCGATTCGGCTGCTCTCGCCCCGCGTACGTAAATAAACATGCAGCTGTGTCCGGCTCGCGACTGTTTCGGCGCGGACAAGTTCGATTCCACGAGGATTCGTTCGCGGCATTGGCGATTTGCGCGCGCTATTCGACGTTGCGCAAAAACGACATCGTCGCGACGGAGTGCACTCGACATGGGACAATGCGTCGCGTCCCAAGATGTGTACAACGGAGAGCGAGAAAAAAGTGACGGCTACGGAGGCTCGCCGTTGCTCGATGATAAGACGGGGCGAATCATCGAGCGAGCGAGCGAGCGAGCGAGCGAAAGGGAAGCCGGGATGATGATGAAAAGGAGAAGGAGGAACAGCAAGAATGGGGGATCTTGTTCCCTCTGGTTGCAGCAATCGATAAGCGCAATTAAGACTCGCCTTTGGCATCGACGAAAAACACCAAGAGCCGAGCCTCTCGCTAATGACGGAAGAAGCGGAGGGAAAAGGGCCTTTGGCTCTTTGGTACCGACGAAGCGCCGTTCACTTAGCTTTAGTGTTATAGCCTTAATTCTGGACATCCTAGTACTGACTGAATACCTGGATATTACCTGGAATACCTGGATATATCCATCGGATATTACTCACGTACTCAGGTACCGGGATATTCAGGTATCTGGGCACCGGAGGATCCTGTTATTTACTTAAATTTTTATCGATTCTTTCTTCATTCTATGCGTAATGTTATTAGGCTAAGGTCAGCAAAAAGTACAGATACTTCATGGAACATTTAATTTCCGTGTTAGAACTTACCTGAATAAAATATGCAATATGTGACTAAGTAGACACTCTTCCTTGACTTTATTTCAGTACTTTTGTATGTAAAATGGTGAGAGGATTATATGGATTATATAATGTAAAGGCAAAGCCATGAGATGGCCGAAAATCCGAGTAGTACCCGTGAATTCGTGTACCGGGATATTGTCCGAAATACTTTGAATCGTGACCACGTTAACGACAGGCTTCTCGAGACAATGATTCCGTATATTAAGGGAATCATATGAGGGACAAAGCTAACCCATTATTACCTATCCAACCGCGTGATGATCGTTTGCGCA